TTCTTATATTGGGAAATATTGTTTTCAAAATTTCCTTTTCAGACTGTTCCTCTTGAGGAATTTCATTTTTATATGATCTTGCACATTATGCTGCTGAATCTTTCAATGAGCTTCAGTAAGTTTCTTGGTGAATGGGTGGTTGTGCAAATGGACGCTATCAAATGCAAATAGGAAGTTGTATTTCTTTGCCAATTTAAATGCCTTTGATTCCTCTTTGTTTCTAATAGCTCTGAGATTTTCAGTACTATATTAACTAAGAGTCGTGATAAAGGACATTCTTGTTTAGTTCCTGTTTATAAGGGGAATGCTTTCCACTTCCCTCCATTGAGCAAGATACTGGGCAATGGTTTTGTATATATGCTAGGTATTTCCCTTCTAGTCTGTATTTTTGAGTTTTTATCGGTAATGACTATTAGTCAAATGCCCTTTTTGCATTTAATTGATATGATCATGTAGTTCTTTATGTAGGAGAGTACATAGATTTTTTTAAAATGTTGAAGCATCCTTGCATACCTGGGATGAATCTGACTTGGTCATGATGTATTATTATTTGGATATCATTTTGTTGGATTCTATTGTGGAGAATTTTTGTATCTATGTTCATATGAGATACTGGCCTTTACTTTTCTATTCTGGTGATGTTCTTGCATGGTTTTGGTTTCAGGGTTATGTTCACGTCATAAAATGAATTCAAGAGTTTGGCATCTTTTTCTACATTCTGAAATAGAGTAATACAATACACTTCTGTGCACTGATTTAATATACTGAAAATATGTTGGTCCTATCAGGTTCTCTGGTGTATTCCTTCTGATTTTCTACATAGGAAATCAAGTAATATGCAAATAAAGGAAGTTTTGTTCCTTTCGTGAATTATCTTGTATGCCTCCATTGGCCTGCTAATCACAAGGATCAGCAGTTCAAAATCACCACCTTCCTGCAGGAAAAAGTTGAGGCTTTCTATACCTATAAAGATCCATAACAGAGGTTCTCAACTTGTGGGTCGCAACCCCTTTGGGGGTCGAATGACCTTTTCACAGGGGTCACCTAAGACCACTGGAAAACACATATTTCTGATGGTCTTAGGAACTGAGACACCGCTCCTCTATCCATCTCCAGGCAGGTCCGCCCACATGCAGATATGCCCACATATGCATACCCGGCATGAAGACTGTTACCCATGCTACACCAGGTTTCAAGACAAAATTTCATTTATTTGTAATTAGAAATAAATATTTAACAATATATAATTACATATATATTGTTTCATCACTGTGTTTTTATTCAATTTGTAACCATGAAAATATATCCTACATATCAGATATTTATATTATGATTCACAATAGTAGCAAAATTATAGTTATGAAGTGGTAACGAAAATAATTTTATGGTTCGGGGTCACCACAACATGAGGAACTGTATGAAAGGGTGGCAGCATCAGGAAGGTTGAGAACCACTGATCTACAGTATCGGATACCTGCAGGTGCTGTTCTACTCGATCTTATAGGGTCATAATGGTCTGAATCAGCCAGTGAGTTTGGAGGTTTTTAAAACTTTCCCGTTAAAACTTTCAATACTGTGCTGAGTAACAGGAGTGAGGATCAGATGTCTTGCCTTCTTTCTGATATAAAAGGGAAAACATTCAATTTTTCATCATAAGCATAATGTTAGGTGTATATTTTCCATAAGTGTTCTTTTCCAAGTGTGTTAGTCCGGGTAGACTACAGAAACAAATTCAGACACTCATATGTTTATATACAAAAGCAACTGAATATTGAGAAAACATCCCAGCGCAGTCCAGATCAAGTCCTTAAGTCCAATATTAGCCCATATGTCCGATATCAATCTATAAAGTCCTCTTTAGATTCATGAAACACATGCAATGATGCCAATGCAGGAAATCACAGGCCAATAGGTTGGAAGTCTAGTGGATCCAGTGGCACTGTAAGCATCTCAACGCTGACAGGGGTCTCTGCATGGCTTCTCCAGCTCTAGAGGTCTGGTTGCATCAGGGTAGGTCCATGTGGCTTCTCCAGCTACCCGGGTGTAGCACGATGTCTTGTCAGTAGAACATTTTCTCGGGGAAATACAGGAGTACCCATAATTCTCAGGGGAAGGCCATGCCCACACAGAGGCCTCATTGGCTATGACCTGATTGACAGACTGGACTCCACCTCCCCCCCCTCCCCCCACATCACTCTCAATTCTCAAATTGACAAACAATTATATAACTACCACACCAAGTTAAAGTAGTAATCTCTATGTCTGACTTCTGAGTTTTTAATCATGAGTGAAGACTGTTTATGTCAACTATCTTCTCTGTCATAATCTTATTTTTCTTCTTCAGGTTAGTGGTAAAGAGTTCAGTTGCTAACCTAAAGATTGCTGGTTTACTGTTCCACTGTTCTGTGGAAGAAAAGACCTGGCGATCAGTACCTGTAAAGACTGGTCTTAGAAATTTAATATAAGGCCACTATAAGTTGAATAAATTCAATGGCAGTAGGGTTCATTTTTACTCAGTTATTTGGTGGGCGTTACAAAGATGGCTAGAAAGGCCATATCAAGTAAATGACTGTACTGAATATCTAAGACAGAATTTGGTATCAAATATAGGGGAATGATCTAGCAAATACATAAAATATGGAAATGGTTTGGGAATTGGTAATGGATAAGGCTGGAATTACTATTAGGGGCCTAACAGTAAAACTCTAGATTACCATGAAGAGACTGTTGGTAGAATTATAGACATTAATTCTGATGAGAACTGAGATGTAAGCTGAGTCACAGAAAAAGAGCCTATCAACTTAGATAATCTGATGCCAACAGCAAAAAACTGCCAGGAATGTATTAACTGTTATTTTAATGAGGTTTTAAAGGAAATGATGAACATATGATTGTACGATGGATGAAGTGGCAAAGAACATCCTTGGATTACGTTAAAAAGTTTGATGGTTAGAACTTATAAGATGAATTAAAAACAAAAAAGAATTTTGATATTTGACTGACAAGATTTCTAAGATTTAAAAAAATTAAACATTTTATTGGGGGATCTTACAAATCTTCTAATAAACCATCATTCAATTATATTATGCACACTTGTACATATGTTGCCATCAACATTTCCAAAACATTTTCTTTCTACTTAAGCCCTTGGTATCAGCTTCTCTTTTTCTCTCCTCCTTTTCACCCTTGTAAATCCTAGATCAATTATATATTATTATTGCTATTTTGTGCCTCACATTGTTCCCTTCACCCACATTTGTTATTCATTCCATTGGAGGTGGGCTATATATTCATCCATGTGATGGGGTTCTCCTTTCTCCGCCACTCCCCCTCACCCCCACTGAGGTTTATATCTGTTTTGTATTCCATGTGTCAAGGGCTCTTATCTGTACCAATGTGTGTATTCCGATCTAGATGGATGGATTGATAAGGTAGAACTGGGTCATGGGGGGAAGCATTCAGGAACTAGAGGAAGGATGTGTGTTTCATCAGTGCTATACTGAACCCTGGTTGAACTGTGCCTTGTAACCATTCTGTGGGGGTTTATACAAATGTCTACAGATGGGCTTTGGTTCTCCACTCCAACCCCCCTCATTCACATCGGTATAATTGTTTTGGATCTTTTGATATCCGATCCC